AGGCTTGCATTTCCGGATGGTCGAGCACGCAATTCTGAGCCCAGACCAAAAGATTGCGGATTTGGTAAGCGGGAGGTGCCCTGGGTGCACCGGTAAGCCCAGGGAACGTGGAGGGAAGGGACGTCGAGTGGATCGGAAATGGTGCAATGTGGGGCCGTTGCAGATGGGTCCCGGTCGCTCATTGGCGCGCGATGGCGCAATTGTCCCCTAGTCGCAATTCTCCAAGCTTCAACAATTTCCAAACGCCGAGTTTCGCACGCGAACAAGCAGCAGCAGCAGCAGCCAGCAAGAACCAGACAGCAGGATGCCTGACAAATGCCCGTCTCTTATTGCCTGCTGCAATGGAGTCAATGGAGTGCGCTTCTCGGTTCCCGGTGCTAGCTAGCTAACCGTGCTGGAAAGGTGAGTGCCGGCTAAAGGGTCTCCTTTGCCGGTCCTGCTCTCACTTTTTTTTTTATACGCTCGGAACCTGTTCGGAGTCTTCTTAGACGAGGACCTCTCTTGAACTTCTTTCTCCCTTCCCTTTTTTACCTCTCCTCACTTACAAACCTCAAGGTCCTCCTAGAACGAAGAAGCTCATCTCTCGTTCAGGTTGACGCAAGTGACTTGTACAACTTGCTCTTGAGTGTCCCAATTGTCTCTCAGCAGCAACCATTCTCTTGCGAGTGGTGAGGCTCTGTTTTCTGGTCCTCCGTGTATTTTGGACCATCTTTAATCACATATTCTTTGCTGTACTTATTCCCAATTCGTCCTCTCCAAAGCCTCCCAAGATGCAGTTCAAGCAGCAAGAGAGCACCGGCTCTGCGGTCGCCGTTGACGCAAAGTCGTCGCCCTCGTCCGCCCCTCAGAAGAAGGTCTCTTCCACCCTTCCCTTTGGCCAGCCCGTGGCCCTCTCCTCCATCTCCGGTCCTACCTACGTGACGGCCCAGCTCCTCGTCCAGCAGGTCGCCTTCCTGCTCTCCGACAAGATCTTCTCCTACTCCGCTCCCACCTTTGACCTCGATGTCGCCGCAAAGGCCTGGGCCGAGGCCAAGGAGCGCAACATCCACGGCGAGACCACCGACCTCATCCAGCTCCAGACCAGGACCGGCGCCGGCGCCCTCGCCCTCGGCTACATCTTCAGCCCCGACTTTGATCTGGCCAAGAGACACCTCCCCCAGACCCTGCTCGCCCCTACGCTGAGCTTGAAGAACCTCCGCGGCGCATTGGACCAGCTGAGCCTGTTGTACGGTGTCGCCTCCCCCTTCGTCGCCCACGTCGCGGCTCTCGACTACGATGCCGCGAACGGCCTCGTCTCCGACTACGACACTGCCCTGCGCACCGCTGAGGACCTTGGCCTCGGCTTGGTTGCCAGCTCCAGCGCCTACGAGACCCAGCACATGGCCCTCTTCGCCACTCTTATGGCCGCTCTGATGCCTACGCTGCACATCTACGATGGTGTTCGACTCGCCCGCGAGACCTCCCGCGTCGTTGACGCCCTCAGCCAGAGCGGCATTGCCGACCTCTACAACAACATCACCTCCGAGTCCACTGGTGTCTCCGAGAGGGCCGCCATCTCTTCCAAGGTCGCCGGCCTGTTGGACGTCTTCAACAAGCACCTCGACCCCACCGAGGACCACGAGAGCCAGCACACCGCGCTCCTGGCCACTCTCATGACCGCCCTCACCCCCAACCTGGGAGTCGAGGACGGCGTCAAGCTTGCCAAGCAGACCCTCAAGGCCTCGGACGCTCTCAACAAGAAGGGCGTCGCCGAGACCTACAAGAAGATCTCCAGCGAGGTCCAGTCCCTGAACAAGAGACTCGACGACGCCGGCAAGGTCGTTGAGCTCCTCAGACTCTTCAACAACGAGCTCGGCACCGCCTACAACCTGTTCGAGTACCACGGACACGACCAGGCCGAGGCCGTCCTCGTCGTCTTTGGGAGCGCCGAGACCCAGCTCGCCAAGCAGGTCGTCACCCGCCTCGCCGCCGACGGCGCAAAGGTCGGCGCCATCAACGTCCGCGTCTACCGCCCCTTTGTCGAGGAGGCCTTCCTCGCCAGCATCCCCGCCTCCGCCAGGTCCATCTCCGTCCTGGGCCAGGTCAAGGACGAGCTCTCCGTCAACGACGCCTCCTTGCAGTCTGCCCTCTACACCGACGTTTTGACCTCCGTCTCCTTCTCTGGAAAGTGGCGCCAGGACCCCACCGTCTCCGACGTCAAGTACTCCGCCTCGGAGGCCCTGACGCCCCAGACTGTCGCCGACATCTTTGGCAAGCTCCTCAGCGCCGAGGCCGAGTCCAAGCCCTTCCCCGCCTTGGTCCAGGCGCACCAGTACACCTTCTGGGACGTTGACAACTCTGTCGCCGTCGATTCCCCGGCGGTCGTCAGCAACTTGCTCTCCCGCGAGTCTACCAGCAACGTCTACGTCCACGAGTCTTTCGACAACCTGCTCCAGGGCGGTATCGTCCGCACCGACATTCGCAGCTCCAAGAAGGCCATTGAGGCGCCCTACGCTGTCGAGGAGGCCGATGTCGTTGCCGTTGGCGAGGAGAAGCTCCTCAAGGACCTCGACATTATCAAGAGCGTCAAGGCCGGTGGCAAGCTTCTCCTGAACCTCCCCAGCTTCAAGGAGGAGGACATCGAGAAGCGCCTCTCCCCTGTCGTGCGCAAGCAGATTCAGGACAAGTCCATCGAGCTCTACATCCTGGATGCCTCCGTCTTTGCCGAGAAGGAGTCACAGGCTGTCAAGATTCTCTTGGAGTTTGCCTTCCTCCAGATCGCCCGCTCCGACATCACCGCCGAGGAGGTCGCCAAGATTGCCCTCCCTGAGGGCTTCTCCAGCACCCTCGCCGAGACCCAGGAGGCCCTCGGCCAGGCCCTGCGCAAGGTCGAGTCTCAGTCCGCCTGGGCCGAGCTCCCCGAGGACGTCGTCGTCAGCCCCCTGCCCGCCACCATCAAGCCCAACAGCTTTGTCGGCTTCGACAAGGAGGAGGTCGAGGAGACCTCGCAGCTTGTCGACTGGCAGGCCGCGGCCAAGGGTCTCGCCTTCAAGGAGGCCTACGGCACCGAGAGCGCCCTGCGCCCGGAGCTGCCCGTCAAGACCCACACCATCACCGTCAAGGAGAACCGCCGCCTCACCCCCGGCAACTACGACCGCAACATCTTCCACATCGAGTTCGACCTCGGCGACTCTGGTCTCACCTACGACATTGGCGAGGCCCTCGGCATCCACGCCGAGAACGACCACGAGGAGGTCAGCGCCTTCATCAAGTGGTACGGCCTCGACCCGGAGGCTCTCGTCCAGGTGCCCGCCCGCGAGGACAACGCCGCCTTCGAGACCCGCACCGTCTACCAGTCCCTCAAGCAGAACATTGACGTCCTCGGCAAGCCCCCCAAGCGCTTCTACGAGGCCCTGTCCGAGTTCGCCGCCGACGAGCGCGAAAAGGCCGTCCTCGCCAGTCTCGGCGGTGCCGAGGGCGCCGCCGACTTCAAGAAGCGCTCCGAGGTCGACTTCGTCACCTACGTCGACATCCTCCAGGAGTTCCCTTCGGCCCGCCCATCCTTCCACGACCTCGTCCGCATCATCGCCCCGCTCAAGCGCCGCGAGTACTCCATCGCCTCCGCCCAGGCCGTGACCCCGACCTCGGTCGCCCTCATGATCGTCGTCGTCGACTGGGTCGACCCCCTCGGCCGCAACCGCTTCGGCCACGCCACCCGCTACCTCTCCGCCCTCCCCGTCGGCGCCACCGTCGTCGCCTCCGTCAAGCCCTCCGTCATGAAGCTCCCGACCTCCTCCAAGGCGCCCCTCATCATGGCCGGCCTCGGCACGGGTCTGGCCCCCTTCCGCGCCTTTGTCCAGTACCGCGCCCTGCAAAAGGCCCGCGGCGAGGAGATCGGCTCCATCCTGCTGTACCTCGGCTCCCGCCACCAGCGCGAGGAGTACCTGTACGGCGAGGAGTGGGAGGCCTACGTCGACGCCGGCGTCATCACGCACCTCGGCGCCGCCTTCTCGCGCGACCAGCCGCGCAAGATCTACATCCAGGACCGCATGCGCGAGTCCATGCGCGACGTCGTGCAGTCGTACATCCGCGACGAGGGCAGCTTCTACCTGTGCGGTCCCACGTGGCCTGTGCCTGATGTGACGGACGTGCTGATGGAGGCCATCAACGTCGAGGCCAAGATGAGCGGCAAGAAGGTCAACGCCCGCAACGAGATTGAGAAGCTCAAGGAGGATGGCCGCTACGTCCTCGAGGTGTACTAGTTTCTTTGCGTCCTGTGTACTAGACATCTTTTTGACATGTTTCTTTGTATATAACAGGGTTACGGTCCTATCGAAAAGTTTCCTTGTTACTAGCCAGCTTTCTGGATTGAGCAATTGAATTGTCGAATAAGCATCAAACATTTGCTACACTTCATGCTATGTGACTTTGTCCTATTGTGAATGTCGGAAGGATCAGCACACTTGATTCACCCAGTCAACAGCGGAAGAGACCTTCAATGGAATGATCTCAGCCTTTGGAACCTCGAGACACCATCTCCCAATCTTTGTATCTCTAAGGTACCCTATCAAGTGACTGACACAATCATCTGCCGCTCAGTATGCCCAGTACGATGGATACTAAATAGTATATAAAGTAGGCGTCACGATCGAGCGGATCGCGGTCAGAAGCCAAACAGCCAAGTGCGTGTTGGCGCGCGGCGCGGATAGACGGCAGTGGCGGCGGAAGAGAGCTGCGTTATTGAGATATGGCCGGCTCTTGGCCTGTACCGAGTGCTGTTGCTCCAACTCATCGATGACCTGTTCGCTGGTAGTAACTTTTCTCCTTTGCTCTCTACTTATTCGGTTGGTGATACACCTCGGGTATCTTGGCAATGGGATGATGAGAAGCATAGCAGTGATGAGACAGCACGGCAACGTATCTGTATATATTGGCCGGTGTACCAAGGCACTCCGCCACTGAGTTACTTGCCAATAGTAACAATGCACGCTTGCAGACCCGGTCATACTCCGATCAAAGCCTCACGCCCGGGCTTTAATCAAATCAGCAGCCTGAACAACATCGTCAGTATACCTCTCCTTCTTTTTACTTCTACACCTCTGCTGATTATCATCATCGTCAAGACTCACCTTCTCAGCAACAGCATACACAGTCTGCTGCGTATACGCCCCCGGCAAATCAGGCATCACACTCGCATCGACAACACTCAACCCCCGGACCCCATACACCTCCAACCCCTCATCAACAACCCCTCCCAACGCCCTCGGCATCATAGCCGCCGTCCCGACGGGGTGAAACGTCGTCGGGCTAACCATCCGCCTCACAGCCTCGCCCAGCGCCTCGTCACTCGTAACATTCGCCCCCGGAACCGTCTCCACGGGCGCGTAGCGCGCCAGCGTCGCGGACTCGAGAAAGTACCGCCGCGTGAAGCGGATGAACTCGATTTGCACGGCGAGGTCGGTGGGATTGCTCAGCGCGCGGTAGTCTACGATGGGCTCCGCGAAGAAGGGGTCGCTGGTGTTGAGGGAGATTGTGCCGCGCGAGAGCGGGTGGAGGAGGACGAAGTTGCTTTCTGTGGGGCTGCCGCGGAGGAAGAAGTTGTAGAAGGCGGCGCCGGGGGAGCGGAGGGCTGCTGCGAGGCGGGTTTGTTGGGCTGCGTAGCCTGCTATTACGGTTGGGTGTGTGTCGGGGGGCAGGTGGGCTGAGGGGGGTTGGGATTCGTAGGCGGATGTGATGGCCTCGAAGGAGGGGGTTATTACTGGGAAGGGGAGGAAGGTTGCTACGTTTCCAGCGCCTATGGTTAGTGGTCCTGAGGGGAGTGTTAGTGAGTGCTTCTTGATGTTTTGTTTTGGGATGGATGAGTTTGGGTGGGGGAGTTCGTACCGGTCCGGTTGGCTTCGAACTCTGCTTTGGCTTCGTCGATGAAGGTCTGGTTGTTGACGAGGTCGGTCATATCTGGGTGGACGTCGAAGTTGGTGACTATCACAACATCAGCACAGCCACCTTCACTCGAAAGGCATGCTATCGAAGCTCACAGGTAAAGGTAGCCCCGGCACCAACAGGATGGTCCTGGAAATTCTGTCCCACGCCGGGCAAGTCGACGACAACCTCGATACCCGCGGCCTCGAGAAGTGCTCTCCCGCCTACGCCGCTGCGCTGCAGAATCTGCGGCGTGTGAATGGATCCCGTGGCGAGGATGACCTCCTTCCTGGCCTTTACGATCCGCGCGCCATTGAAGGTGGCGGAGTTTGCCTCGACGTAGGAGACACCGATGGCGGTCCGGGTCTCGACTTTGCTGTCGCCATCAAAGAGAACCTTGAGTACCTTGTGCCCGGTAATAGTCTCGTAGTTATCCCGCGCGGCCTCGATGCCGTCCCAGTGGCCTCGTCTGGCCATGGATCGCGTCACTGTGGCGGGGTCGAAGGAGGTTGGGTACCAGAAGACGCCTGGGTCGCCGGCGCCCGAGTCGACGGGGAAGTCGACGCCTTGAATCTCTTTGAAGGCTTCTACTTCGGTCTCTGTTGTTGTGGGTGTGCTTTTGGTTAGCATGGTGTCACACGCTGTACTCAGCGGGCGATATGAAAGGGAGTGGTAGATGGGTACTCAGCATAGGCCAGTGGAAGGTCGGAAACGAAGCGTGGATGCCGGAGGAGTTGCCCCAGAAACCCGCGTCATACTTGATGTCGAACTGCTCGGTCAGCTCAGGGGTAGGAGGGTGGAAGTTCCACGCCTACGGTCACATTACTTCATCAGTCACAGTCATTTGGGAGAGAGAACGGCAAACAGAACTTCAGACGATCGGATTCTCACCTTTTTGAAGTAAGGCAGCAGGCCATCCCAACTCCACTCCGATTCATTGCCAAAGTAGGACCCCCATCTGTCGTAGTCCTCCTTCTGGCCGCGGTGGACTTGCATGGCGTTGACGCCCGTCGAGCCACCGAGCATGACGCCGCCAATGACGTTGATCTTGCGGCCGTTGAGGCCCTCTTGGGGTACGGAGGAGAAGTTGAAAGTATGGGACTGGTTGCGCCAGGATAGGAGGCCCGTTGTGACGGTGTTGACCTGAGATGAGTTGTCTTTGCTGCAGTGTTAGCTCACGCTTTGCTCTCTGGGGTCATACGTATACCATATGTGGCTGCAACTAACCGAATAAACCAAGCTCAATCACCAGCACGGTATCTTGCGAAAGTCACAGAATCAGTATAGGGCGGTGCTTTCTCTTCTTCTGAAACGAACTTACGCTCGCCGCTTTCGGTCAATCGATCAGCGACTGTCAGGCCGGAGGTGCCTCCTCCAACGATAACGTAGTCGTACTCTGCCTTGACGTCACAAGCTATAGGGAGGATTCTCGAGTGAGCGATGGACCGGGGGATACTTGATGAGATAACACCCGGGATATTCGCCAACAAGAAGCCCAACGCGGCCATAAAGACCGGGATTTTGGTCATTTTGGCTGGCTCCTTTTAGTTCAACAGTATCTAAGCATGAGAAAGGAATTGAGGAAATGTTTACGAAGCTGCTATGGGTCCAAGATTTTCTCTCTTATATAGTCCCGCTCGAGGGGCCTTTGCCTGCACAGGGAGAAGGCGATGCGAGAGGGCCATGCGAGGTGATCTTGGCTTGTTTGTCGCCCATGATGACTTCTGCTACTCTTCACCCCATCAGCGATGCCAATTCGCGTACGAAAAGACTATAAGTGGTATTGTTGTGCGATCCTGCTTTAGGAGGGCGCCCACGTTGCAGCGCATCATGTCCTGCAGCCATCGTCGAGAGCCTTACTCACACAGCCTTGGCTCTATTGTGTCCGGCTTCAGATCATGCCAAGTTGACAAAACCTCTTCCAACTAAGCTTGACAATGATTATTCCAAGAGTCTACCAGCTCTTCTCATAATCTATCACAGAACCCGAAGACAGCCAACTCACGGCCCGGCTTGGATTTTTACATCTCTCAGACGGACTTTGTCTTGAGGAAGGAAAAGACACCGGCGAGGGACTCAAGTTGTTGTTTGCCATCTGCAGCTAGCCTCATCACAGTCGTTACCCCTCACCTCGACACCTCTCTAGTTAATAGAATTTCTTCTCTCGCATGAGAAGCCGCATTTTCCACGTACGCGAAAGCACGGGAAGGCACCGCCCAGGCTGTCGGGTAAAGTCGAGGCGTGCCCGAATAGAACGGTCCAGCCGAGGGACGGATCTCACATTTTGACAGAGACAGGCTCGGGTTTCAATTCCTCTGGAGCGAGAACATATGCGAGGTTGCGTGCAGAGGCTGCGCCGCTGGTAAGCATCGGGTCACGCCATACATTTTCTTTCGTCTTTCCGGGGCGGGGAAGCTGACCGAAGCGATGCGGGCGCCTGGAGCCCTCCCGGCTGTCTTTTCGTTTCCTTCTTACGTTCTGACTGGTAGAAGCTGTTCACCCTTGTCACTCGCCTAGCCCAACCGTCAAGTCGGAGTTATGAAGTCAGGAATTATTGAGAAATTGCGTATGCTGCGTCGTCTTTTGACAATAATTGATGAAGAATTTGGCAAATCTCACAGTCAATTCACATAGAGAAATGATCTGAATGTATAGATTCGGGACCTACAACATACAGTTCTGAGGTTCACTTTCACTAGGCTCTCGTCTAAACTGCTATGTATACTTGGAGTAGGACGCCAAGTATCACGCTCATTTAAGGCTTGCTGCATACGCAAGAAAGAAAGCGCCACGAGCATGGCCAACAACAATAGAATCCCTTCTATAACTAAATGATACTATCTAAGAGTGCTAGTATGAGCGACTTAGCAAGAGGTACGAAATATTCCACAGGAACTGTTCCTCGCGTCTAGGGCAAAGGCACCCAGGACTCGACTGACGGGAAGACAGTGAGCTCCACATACCACAATGAGGAGACATGGAAGATGCTACTTAACGTTTCTGAACAACTTTAAGAACACGTCAAAAGAAGATATGCTGCCGTATAAAGCTTTGAGAGAATGAACCTACAACATCTTCCTCGACGTCTGTCCATGAGACTTCCTGAGAACCCTTTGTACAGCCAAAGGTGATGAACGTCTAGAATTATCCACGAAACGAATGTTAGTAAGTCTTTGAATCAAGGCTGAATGATATGGTGGGTGCTTACCGCCTCGCTCCTTCTCAACCTCTACGTGCCCTCCTTTCTGACCTGCCTCTGGTACATAAGGAGTCTAATCATCCGTCTCTGTCACCAGCACCCATCCAGCCAATTGGCCGGGTGGTTTATACTCTGACGCAGAGAAGCCAAAAGAAATACTCCAATGAAGCCGTGCTGGTTCGAGGGGCGCGCTGTTCGAGTCCGGACAGGGGCGTGAATTCTAGCGTAAGTGATCACCAGCCCTTTCCTTCCTTTCCTTTTTGACTCTTTTTTTCAGTTTCGTAAGTGATGAGTTCGATAATTTCGCAATGGAGAAATCAATAGTTCATCCTCTGATCTTCCACAGCTTTCATGTTAGGTGAGATGAACTGGAAAAATCGAGGAGCCGACAAAAGTTCCAAGTTGGTTGGTCATCTGTAGATTCCATCGAGATGCTAGCTGACGGCTGAAAATGCAATTCTTTCTTGATTCTCACTGTGAACCGCCCTGAAAAATCATGGTTTAGTCAATTTCAAAGACGAAGGGGAGAAATATCAAGAAAAAGAGTGAAGCTAACCTTGACCTTCTCCCCAGCCTACTGTGATATCATGGGACACTTCCAACCTCGAAACCCCACCTCGATGGCGATATCGACCACACCACTATCAAGTCAGCAAATTATCTCTACAGCAAATCGAATACACTACAATACGTTTCATTAATATCACTAGAGCTAACTTCTGCCTGGACCGAAGTGGAACTGAATCTAGTCGAGTCGACAACTCCACAGGGCAGTGGCTGTGCAACCACCCAAGCCCCTTTTCCCAGAAGTTCGCTCGCCCCCCTTTTCCCTGGGTAAAGAAAGGACCACCATTGCCAAAATCACATCGTATTAGCGTTGGTATGAATCTTTGATAACCATGGAACTTTTCGGTTTTGCTTCGAGGATGGTATGTTCTTGTTCGAGATGGGGAAAATCCAGGGGAAAATACATGTTCCTTTGCGGCGAGGTATAGGCAATAGTCTGCCTTGCTCAATGCCCTGAACAACCATACGTTGCAGAATCCACTACTATCCAGGTTGAGTAGTTTGGGGTACGAGATCGGTCCGAGCAGGGGGACCCTTCTGAAGTTTTGCGAGATTCCGCTGCGATGGAAGTTCGCCTTGGTGGAAAGCCTCGCGGGTGAGATTGGTGTTATGATCCCCCGCTGACCTCTTACACGAGATCAAAGGTAGCCCGGTAGGAACTACTGCTTCGCCGGGCGGGACGTGAAATATGACCATACATATCGATGAGACGTGAGTGTGAATCGTTGATACGAGGTGGGTTTCCAAGCTTTACGCTGGACCCATCTCACAGACCCTCGGCAGTTCAAAACACCGTACCAAGTGTTCCTACTCGACCTAGAGGCGGTGTAAGTTAGCTTCATGACTAGCAAACCTCCATGAACTATCTCATCATCACGAAAGGGGGGAAAACACTGCCATCAAAGTGGCCTGGCCTAGAGTACCAAAAGAACATAATGTTGTTACTATCTGATAGAAATGCATATGGTACCTCAGGAGTCTTGACGCCGTCGGCCTCATGCGGCTTGTGGGCTGCTCATCCCGGGGGTATAACGAGCAGGAGAACAAATTTACACTAAAGAAGTAGAAAAACTGTTTCTGCGAGGAGGAATTCATGTACAATATCTTTGAAAAAATGTACAACTTTTGAAAGTACTGTGAAAGTTCCTGGAGCAGAGACTAAGCCCCTGTCCCTGGTCCCAAAGCAACATCACCCTCTTTTACTGCACAGTGAATCCGGCGTCGATGGGATACGTGGCATACGACCAAGGGATAGCGCGCTGGAGGAGCTGGTAGTCGAAGCCGTCGCCTCCGCCGCTGACGTACAGGAACTTTGTAAAGGCGGACGAGGCGGTGTAGGTGAAGGCAACGTTGGCCGGGACGAAGACGACGTCGCCCTGGATCAGCGTGACGGCGTCGTACCCCTCGACGGCGACCTCGAGGCTGCCCTCCTCGAGCTGGAAGGCCAGGGGCTGGCCGAGGTTCGCCTTGGTGGCGGTCTGGTTGGAGAGCAGGGGGCTCAGGGTGACGGTGCCCATGGTGAAGTTGCTGGCCGTCTGGTTGGCCGTCGCGAAGGGGGCGACGAGGTGGTAGACGCCGCCGTCGGCGTTGAGGTACTTTGGTCCGCGGTTCTTTGCGACAAAGTTGGGGGTGACGGCGTCGGGCGCGAGGGTGTTGGCGGCCGTGTGCCAGGTGTTCGCGCCGCCGGCGCTGCCGTTGACGAGGTCGCGGCGGGGGTTGAAGTCGAGCTGGGCGTAGACGTCAAAGGCCTCGAGGGCGGAGATGAGGGCCGGGTCGGAGCCGGAGGAGGAGCCGTTGGAGGCGGCGGGGACGAACTCGGAGCCCGTGGGGGAGACGAAATCCGAGTTTGCGATGGCGATGAAGAGCTCCTCGAAGCCGCCGGGCTGGATGACGCCGGTGAGCTGGGTGTCCGGGTCGGTGATCTGGAAGGTGTGGACCGTGTTGTGGGGCACGGCGCCGTAGTCGCCCGGGGTGAGGACGCGGGCCTGCTCGCCGGAGCTGTTGGTCTTTGCCCAGAGCTGGATCTGGCCCTTTGTGCAGTAGAAGTTCTCGTAGTGGGCCTTGTGGATGTGGGGGAGGACGCCCAGGTCGGACGAGTCCGGGGCGTTGGTCTGCATCAGGGTGAAGGCGCCGGCGGAGGAGTTGCCCGTGACGGAGAAGCGGTAGACCTGCTCGCCGACGGCGACGGCGCGGCCGGAACCCTTGCGGAGGGCGTAGGGCTGGGACGTCTCGGGGGCCTGGTCGAGGATGAGGCTCTTGCCGGTGCTGTTGGCCTGCTGCTTGAAGGAGTGACCCTGAGGAGCCGCCGCCACGAGGGGGAGGCCGGCTGCGAGCGTTGAGAATCTCATGTTGGCGAGTTGTTGATCTTGTACAAGTTTGATTAACGGCGAGTTGCAAGACGGCACACAGACAGGATGGACGAACGAGGAAGAAACATAATCACGTCAGGGGAAACATCGGGAACTTATAGCAGCATCAGAGCAGACGAACCAACGTTACGGCCGGGCATGAAGATCTTCGCTCGGTGTCCGAGCCGTTGCCCCCTTAGGAAGACCCCATCGCGGGATTTTCACCCAGTGTAACCCTTGCCGCATGTCATTGCTTGTTCCTGATCTGAACAGGGACACCGAGCTTCCAGGTCGAGCTACATGCTCCGCTTGTCCGCTGACTAACATGTTTCTTGTGGTGTTAACGTGGAAACGGCCTTCTTCTTCGATCTAGAATGGCTCCATCTCGAACCCATTCGACCCGCTGTTCATCCCATTTGAAGAAACAAGCGCCAGGGATCGCGGGTATCTTGCATGCATGACGCAAACCAGGGCGAAGATGAGCTGAAGATAGCATCGACAAATGGAAGCTCCGAAGGAGAGACCGAATGGAACCGGGCACTATAACGGAGGTGGCATGTGGGTTGGCGTACGTATGTATCCCGATGATTAGAAGGAGGTGTATTCCACTCGAGTATGGGTCTCAGATGGCATTTGACGTACATCTGGGCGGAAATCCCGAAGTTCCCTGTCAATGGCTAGATGCGAAGCCCCTTGTCCACTTTGACCGATTTGACTCCACCCGGGAATTCCGGACTTGAGAAGCTTCACACGTCGTATTATAGGGGAGTAGCGAAGGAGTAAGGTTATTGAAGTTGCGCAGCTCGGTCAAATTGTGGTGCCGTTAGCCGATAGTCCGGTTCTCGTATTGTTAAACAGGAGCAGGTTTTGGATAATGGGAAATAGGAAGTTTTCTCTGTGTCCGAGCAACCCGCTGGCGTCAACACGGCCAAGTACACTTCGTTTCATGACCTTCCCGTTGAGGGTGTTGATTCAAGGCGTCTTCGTCACTATTCAATACAATGACAGCTTGAGACCGTTTTCCAAGACCTTCTCCGATGTATGGTGGCGTAGTTTGGGACGTTGGGTTACCTGTAACGACACTTCGTCTCAGGCTAGGCCAGGAAATAGGAAACCGAAAAAGGCATCTCACATACAGACTTCTGCGGTCAGATCCTAAGCAAGATACAGTCATGAGCATTTCCTTGTCGCTCATGTTCATCAGCAACCACTCGTGATGTTCAGTGGCCGTTTGCGGTTGAGCGTGGCAGTGTTCCGAGGAGGCTATACGCCCGCCTTCGGTACCAAATCGTTGCCACTCTTCGTTTTCGAGGTGTGAAGTCGGCCATCACTTGACGACTCACTTCCAAGACTAAACACTGGATAGTGATCTAAGCCACAAGGAAATTGTATAAGGAAGATCGCTCGATGCTGACCCATCTTGGGTGTCCTCGAGGCCAGTCTCACCCGGCCACTGACAAGGGTGTAAGCTAGTTACCGGCGTGACGCAGAATCGCCCTTTTACCGGGCGGCGTAGTATAACGAGGGAACACTTCAAAAGAAAGGCAGGTGGCCTCGCAGGATTTCCAACGTGAAGACCTTGAGGCTCAAACTACGGGTGGAGTGATCAAGGGTAGGCGCTTGTTGGTGTAAGCCACCGCTGCCGGGGGGTAAAGGCGGCGGGTAAGGTAAGATGAGGCCGTGAGGGTGACCGTTGTCGGGGCCTCCGAATCTGGCCGGATCATACTCCGTACCTGGTGGTATGCTGTCCGTAGATGGACGAAGGTCTGCTCCGTACTAGCGGGAGCCAACGATGAAGCGCCATACAGCCTTGCTGCCTTGAAATAAAGTTGGCGCGGTCCAAAGGGGATTAATCGTTGTCATACCCCAACAGGGGTGCTGGGCATGTGTTGAAGATTCCGATTCTCTGGGATAGTGGGAATGGCTCGTGCGCCGAGCAGGTTCCGTATCGGGGCGTTTGCAGATCTACAACGGTGTGGCTGCCATGTGAGAATGGCCCCTTGCGATTATGGACTTCTGGAAGGAGTCGCGTGAGGTGTGGGCGTGACAGCCTCGTGTCTGAGATATCAAGATTGCGGGTTGTTCAATGTTGACGATGTTGACCAAGTACCTACGATTCCTCGGGTAAGCTGGTAGCTCGAGTGAGGAAGAGGCCCCGAACACCGTATTCGCTTAGGGGTCAGGCAAGTTGGCTTTGTTGAAATGGTATAATGGTGAAAATGATTCATCCGTTAAGGGATGACCCTAGAAGAGGTGAAAGATGACGGGAAGCATTCCCAAAATGCCTGTTCGCAGCAATGGGCAAATGCTTTGTTGGTTCAGGTAAGTGGCACGTGAGACAAGGCATTTAGAAATCCCGTGAGCTCCAACAACTGTACCTGACCGGAAAGTTGAAACAGCCAACTGGAAGCCCCCGCCTGCCAAACGAAACTGTCAGAGAGAAGGGAAAAAAGGATTGGCCAAACAACGAAAGTCTGGTCCTGCCGTCTCCCAATAGCCCCAAGTGAAATGGGTAAGAGCAGGCGAAAGAAAGATGGGAATCGGGAGGCAGCTTCTTCGCTGAGGTAGAAACTAAGGTAGAAAGCCTGCGTGTCAGCCTGTGAAGGGTCCATTCATTGGCCAAGTCGGAAGAAGAACTGCGCATGTGGCTTGGTATCGAGCTAAGCCAAATTGGGTACGACTTTCTTGTCCAGTTTGGAAAGGTACCGTGGGTACCTAGGCAGCTCCCTCCTGCCCCTCATTCTACCCTTACCTCATGTTCTCCCAGCCCACCTCATTCACACTCATTCCCAGCCCACCTGCCTTTCACCTCCGTCCATCTACCTTGTGCCGCCTCTCTGGGTCGCAGCGTTGCTAGCCTGCCACTGCCTGGTCCAGGATCTAGGCGTAGAGGGGAGCACCGCTTGTTGCTCACCTTTGAATGGTTCCAGCTGAGCTGGAAACCGCCGCATGTCACTTTCCTTACCTCTTCGCACCTTGCTTGACATGAAATCTGCGCTTACCTGAGGCCAAGCATGAGACCTCCAAGCTAAAGGTATAGCCGGGCGCTTGTTGGTACCGCAAACAAACGTACCTTCTTCCTACATTGCTTGTCATCGCACTACCTCACCCAGGGTAGGACATTTTCCACTTCACAAGTTCCCAGGTTCCAATAAAGGACATTGAAAACGGGCCCATGATGATCGCTAGAGCTGCCGAGGAGCTTTGCGCATTCAATTAAATTGACTTTCGTCTCCCTGCGATCGTGGATCTTCGAAACACGGCGATAGAACATCCCGACAAAGCAACACCAACCTGGTCTTCTTGTGTACCTTACCGCCGATTCACTGCCTGGTAGCCACCTTTCTGCCATCCAAACTTTACCCGGAGGGCCACATCACAGAACAACCTCTTTATTCACTTCTGTCAATAGTCTCATGGGCAGCCTGTGCTCAAACATTGAAAAGGACGATGCACCTGGCGAGAAGGATGGTCAGGCTAGTAGGGACATCAATGCGAAGACCATCACACGACTCTCTTCCAAGAGGCTGCGGAAGCTTCGACATCAACGTCATCACGCTCATCACCAAAGACACCAAGCAGACATGGACAAGGCCCAGAATATGATCGAAGCTCACGACGTAGTCATCGATAACATCTTCAAGATGCGGAAAACCGCCCTCGATAAGATCGACGCCAGAAAAATAGATGGACCTGACGAGTACTTCGACCAAAGAAAGGAAATTTTGGACCGCGAGAGTACACTATCCTTTGATTTCAGAGCAAAGACGCTGGCATCAGAGAAGGAGCAGGAAGCCAACGCCATCATTCAGCAACTCAAGGTCGAGGACCATAAGGACGTGTATAAACCGGCTCCAAAACGGCAAGGGTGGGGTGGTCAGGAACATGCGCGGTTTGCTGCTGATCATTTCCTATCCAACGTCGATTTGATCAACAAAACGAGCCTATTCCGAGTTGCCGTCAAGATGCCAAAGGGAGCACACCTTCATATTCATTTCAACGCTTGCTTACAGCCTCATGTGTTGCTGGGCATTGCCGAAACCATGCCCCGCATGTTCATCAAAAGCGATCTGTCGTTGGCGCCGAGCGCGGCAAAGACTAACCTTCACCGTTGTGAAATCCAGTTTTCCATCTTGCCGCTCGATCAGGAAGAGGCAGTTAAGGGAAATCTTTTCAAGCCCGACTATCATCACAAACAGATGATGAAATACTCGGAGTTTATCAAAGAGTTTCCCAAGCATTACAACGGCATGCAGGCCGAGGAGTGGCTCACAAGCAAACTTGTCTTTCACGAAGATGAAGCACATAACGCGCTTCAGACAGTTCAGGGAGCATGGGAGAAGTTCAACGGCCGGACCCGCATGATGAAGGGGCTCTTCAACTATGAGAGCGCCTACCGGAAATACACACGGGGCATTCTTGAAGATTTCGTCCGCGACAACATTCAGTATGCCGAGATTCGGCCTAATTTCATGCAAACTAATCAACTCTGGACTGATGACGGTACGAGGCAAATCAACAATAGGGGTATCATGAAAATCATCATGGAAGAATACGACAGGTTTCAGAAGGAGACCAAAGACTACTTTGGCGGGCTGAAGGTCATCTACTGCACCCCTAGGTCTTTTGATGAAGACACGGTGGAAAATGCACTCAACGAGTGTTTCGAATTCAAGAAGGAATGGCCCCAATGGATCGCTGGTAAGTCCTTGAACGCAGCTATTCTTTGAGCAGACGACTGACTGATAAAACAGGATTTGATCTGGTTGGCGAAGAATCAAAAGGCCACCCTCTGCGATATTTCGTCAAAAAATTTCTCGCCTTCAGGAAGAGATGTGAGGAATCTAAGCCTAAAGTTGATATTCCGTTTCTCTTTCATTGTGGAGAGACGACAGACATTGGCAACGACACGGACGGCAATCTTGTGGATGCGCTCTTGCTCAACTCAAAGCGCATCGGCCACGGATTTGCTCTGGCCAGGCACCCCTATATCATGGAGCACATGAAGAAAAGGGGTATCTGCCTTGAGGTGTGCCCAATCTCTAACGAGGAGCTTGGTCTCACGCCCCGGATTACGGGCCACTCAATGTACAATTTGCTCGCCAACAACGTACACTGCACATTAAACTCAGATAACGGAACGATATTCAGGTATGTCTTTCTCCCGTTTCGCATCAAGCCATAAGGCAGCAAGAAGCTAATCAGAGACCACACAGATCAACTCTTTCACATGACTTCTATCAAGCGATGGTGGGTAAGACAGACATGACTTTGCACGGCTGGCGACAGCTCATTGAGTGGAGTCTAGAGCACTCTTGCATGTCAAAAGATGAGCTCGCGAGCGTGCGCACGGAATGGGAGAAGCGTTGGGATGTATTCTTGGACTGGATCATTGAAGAGTTTAAGGATTTGCCGTTAAAGGTTTCAGAGTAGAGAGCAACCGACATGCCCGGCTTTTCCTTGGTCTGTTCTGGAAATACCATGGGACAGATGCGGGAAAGTTTTTTTTCATTAGAAGATTTAACGATGAATGTATTTATGAAGATCAAAAAAGCACTGCCAGACACGTAATAGAACTGACGAATGAAGGACCAATTCGACGTGACTCGACGTGTGATTTGTGCCTATTGCGTAACTCATACAAAGTTGGGGGCCGCATCGTGGAAGGTAACAGTCTTGGCGTCAGCAGCGACGACGGGCCGTTCCTCTTTCTCTTCCATTATGTATTTTGCCACACAACTTGTTTCTTCCATGCAAAGGTGTGTCCGAGCACTTTACTTGCAAATACTATCTCGGCCGAGTACTCATGTATTGATATCAAACTCACTCTTCAACTCAGATCAGGGCCTGCCAGCCCAGGACTAGGATTTTTAAGGTTAGTTGATAGCGGACCAGCCAACATGATACCCCTCCTTCACTTCCACTCCTCCCCCCTCCCCTCCGCTCAGCCAAGAAATCGACCGCCGCGGAACCCAATTTTCACCAGGACTTCTTCCTCCGCGAAGCCTTGCTCCGGGGCCAGTTCTTCTTTTTGGTCCACCCCCACTCGTTCATCTCATCTCATCTCAATGTCTCTCGTGTCCTACCTCTTACCCCCCTTTCCTTTGATCCTCCCGAACGAGCGAGCTCTTTGAGCCCTTAAAAAGCTGCTGTCAAGGATTGACGGAGGCAATGATGAGATGGATAGGTAACTCAGAGCCCAGGTCCCGTCCCGTCCGGACCCCAATGATTTGAGATGTGAGGACGAAACGGCACGGAGTACACGCTATCGATCAGGCTGCAGCCTGGTTGCTCGTTTACCCATCTTGGCCTACTGCGCCCCCGGAACTTCTCTGTGTCACAGATCTCAGCCTGATTCTGCGTGAGGGGAACTTTACCGGTCCAGCGACTGTTAGAAAGAATTCTGTTATCCGGTACCTAGAGGTGTACATCACAGCCAAGTACCGCCGGGTTTTAGGTACTTACTTATTGATCACTCACAGTCCAATTATTTGCATCAGTAACACTAGGGCCGTAGGGAGATGTATGAAAAGGACGTCAAAGATACGTTTTGATTTTTCTATCTACACGGCAAACGTTTGCGCGGGAGCTGATCTCGAGTCTAGTGATTATGCCGCGTACCAAGCTCTCTCTCTCCCTCTCTGGTCTTTTTTCCATCCTCTCGAAGAATAATCAGCCGTCATGCTTTTCAAAGCTCTCTGAAGCAGACTAATAAACGCAATGCCAAAGTCAAACCGGCCATCCCCTTTTTAATTTTCACCACCAAAAACCAGAACGCAAAAAGCAGACTTCTTTTCTTCGGGATCCCAAACTCCGAGAACCGAATATGCATGTGTCGTCAAGAAACTATAGCTAAAAAGCGGACCTCAGTCGAACTTGATGCCCTTCTTGCTAGAAATGTCAATCATGCCGCCGCGGTAGGCGCCGCGCTTCTTCTTGTTCTTCTCCTTGGTGAAGCCCTTGCCCTTGGTGACGATGAGGTCCTCGTGAGCGCGCTGCGAGTAGTCGTTGGGCACGTACTCGTTGCTGGCGAAGCGGGGGTCGACGTAGACGACGTCGGGGATGCGGGAGAAGGGCTTGTTGGGCTCCTTCTTCTCCTTCTTGCCGCCGCGGTTGTTGGCGCGGTAGGTCATGGGGTCGGGGGGCAGAGGCGGGTCGGCGGCCGTGGACGTCGCGGGCTTGAGCTCGGGGGACGTCTTCTCGAGGGTTGCGGAGGAGAGGGAGGCGCTGTCGGTGGGTGCCTTTTCCTTCTTGGCCTTCTTCTTGGTGTCTGCGTCTGAGTCGGAGTCCGAATCGGAAGAGGAAGAAGAGGAGTCGGAGTCGGAGCCGGATTCGGGAAGGGGCACCTTTGCGGCCTCAGAGCCGTCAGAGTCGGAGTCAGAGTCGCTGTCGCTGTCGGAAGAGTCTGAGTCTGAGGAGGAGTCAGATTCGCTGGAGCTGTCCGAGCTGGAGTCGGAAGACGAGTCGGAGGAGGAGCTGCTATCGTCCTTCTTGACCCTCTGCTTCTTGGCCTTGGGGGCTTCATCTTCAGAGCTGGAATCGTCTGAGGAAGAGTCGCTGTCGCTGCTGCTGCTGCTATCACTGCTGCTGCTGTCGGACTCGGGCGCCTTGCGCTTCAGGCTCTGCTTGGCCTTAGGCTCGGGCTTCTCATCTTCGCTCTCGCTGTCGCTGCTGGAGTCGGAATCGGAGCTGGAGCTGGAGCTGGAGCTGGAGCTGCTATCGCTGTCGCTGTCGGCGGCGGCAGCCGCATCGGCCATATCCACATCCTCGCTCGAGCTGCTGTCGCTCGAGCTCTCGCTGGTGGTCGGAGCGGTGGAAGAAGTCTGCCAGGTCTGGAAGACGGTAACGAGGTTGGTCTGGCCCGCTTCCTTCTTGGAAGGCTTCCAACCGCTCTTGGCGCGCTGCTTCTGGAAGGCCTCGTGGGCAGAGGTGAAGGCGTTCTCGGAGAGGAAGGAGTCGACGAGGTCCATCAATTGGGCGGGAGGAGCCTGCTTGGTGGAGGTGGCCTCGGCCTTGACCTTCTTCTCGGACTTCTTGACCTTGGCCATTTTGTCTGGTTGCGTTGTCGCGGAAGCCGTAGAGGTGCTTGTGTTGTTGGCTTTTGTGAAGTTGTTGGAGAATAACCAAGATGGAGGCGCAGACATGTGTATTGGGCCAGGAGATGGCTCTTATCCGTCGCAATGGCAAGAAAAAGAAGAGGGCAAAGTGAGTGGAGGTGGAAAGAGCCGGCGAGTCGCAAATTCCTCGGTGAGAATGGAATCGTCCTGGGTCTTCCCTCACCTGGGAAAATTTCTGTGGGATCTCTGCGTCGGCGGATCGGTGTCTCCAAAATTTTAGTGCCGGGATCCCTGCTCGCAACTTTTTTTTCCTTCCCGACCTCTCACTTTGCGACAAGTCTTATCTTATCAGTCAATATCCATCAAGCTGGTCTATGTATTTATCCATCAAACGCCAGTGGTAACTCGTTGCCACGCCTCGTACCTTAGCGCTGGCATCCACGCGACAGGGGTGGCCAGCTCATTGCCCGATCAGCGACTGCCCGTTTGTTGACTTTCGCAAAGCTGGGCGCCTAGGCTTCGACTAGCGACCGAGCGCCATCCTCTTCCTGGGAGATCCATCTAATGGTGCTGCATACCACAAATGACGAAGGACTCTTGACGAAAGCTTCTCCAAACAACCGAATTCAACCTCTCATAAGAAACCAAACCGACCGACCTTCTCCGTCGCCGTCTTCTTCCTGGTCCTTTGATCTTCGCGCCTGGGGTCAGGTCAGATCAGACATCTTTCCTTACATCCACCACCCCGGTTACATCGAAACACGCAGCGAAAATGAATGCTACCAAACGAAAGTTCAACGCCCTCATCCAGGGTATGGGCAGATCATCCGCCTCTACGAAATCGAACGACACCACGAGCTTGCCTTCCGAATCCCCTCGTCCGTCGACGACTTCCCTCCAGCCCTCCAACACGAATTCTACAAACACGAACATAACGGCCGATACCTCTGTAAAACCGAGCATGTCGATTGAAGAGGATATCTTGTTGAAGCGTCGGCGCCTGCAAGCACTGACTGAGAAGAATGCCGCTACGATCAATAGCTCTCCTTCAATTCGTGCCACTGGAGCAGGTGCAACGACAACCTTCTCGAACGTATCTCTGAAGAAGTGGGTTCCAAGGTCTGCCAACGTGACGGAAATCAAGCACGCCCCAAAGTTTGCACCCAGCGACCGAAACGAGCTCCTGAAGAGACTAGCATCGTTCCAGGAGATTACAGACTGGACACCGAAGCCCGATGCAGTGAACGAGGTTGAATGGGCGAAGCGAGGATGGGTATGCCAGGGAAAGGATCGTGTGCGGTGCTCACTCTGCAATAAGGAGCTCGTTGTGAAGCTCAACAAACGCGAAGTCGATGGCAAGGAGGTACCTGTCCTTGTGGCGTCGGACGTCGGTAGGTTCATGGTCGCCAGTCCTCGCTGCTACTCAGAACTGATTGGTGAAGCAGAGGAAGCGTTAATAGAAAGATACTCCGATCTTATTGTCACGGCACACCTGGAGGAATGTTTATGGAGAAAACAGGGATGTGATAGTAAGTGTCTACAGACCCTAATGACGAGAGCAAGATCTAACTTTCCCAGATTCGCTACTCCGGCTGTCTTTAACCAATGCCAAAATAAGTGTGGAGGCTTTGCGGACACGTTACGACGAGCTCTGTGCAAGGAAACCCTTCCTTCCCTATGAGTTCAACTTGAGGCTGCCTGAGGGCCTCAACATCGACAGCGTCCTCGCTCAGCTGCCGGAAGACTTCTTCACAAGCCCACCGCCAACCAAGGACTCTCCGGATCCAAAGGAACCAAACAGGGTCGCTTTGGCTCTGGCAATGATGGGGTGGCAGGGCCTCACGAATCCCCGCATTGGTGCGGTGCCAAATTCGGCCTCCTGTCACACGTGCTTGCGACGTCTCGGTCTATGGATGTTCAAGAGTAAGGAGGTCAGCGCCGACGGCGAGATCCTCGTTCCCGCGCCAATGGATCATCTTGATCCAGTCAAGGAGCACCGTTTCTTCTGCCCTTGGAAGAATCCTGTGGCGCAACGTCTGGGCAGCGCGAAGCCTGGCTCAGACGCGACCTTGGCGGCTTGGAAGTTGCTGACGCAGGTACTGAAGAATGACGCTTACCTGCGCGGAGCGCTCGAGGACCGGCCGAAGAACAGGTCCACATGGCATAATAGAGGCGCCTCGGTGCCTTCAACGCCGGTTCGAAGGGGCGCTGCGGCGCACTCGACACCAGGGGGTTACGACTCGCCGAGCGCTGCCACCGAGCCAGCCGGCGGGGAGGACGAACAGTCAAGAGAAGCCAAGGACAAGGAACGTTGGGCACGTCTTAGGAGGGTTAAGAGTTTGTTTGAATCAAAGAACGCTAAGAAGATCCGTCGGCAGCTTAGCAGGCCGGGCACAGCGCGCTCGACCGTCTCAGGGGCGGGGGGAGACAAGGAAAAGGAGAAGGAGTAGTAGTGGACAACCAGTCTGCGCCAATTTCGTGTCACTCACTTGAGATTTCATACTGGAACGGAGGAAACAAGGAGTTCTCAGGGAATGTCTCATGGTCGAGGAAGGCCTGTTTGCAATTTTGTCTTGGCTAGAATACCCATATGATGGAACTTGTCTAAAGCGTTGGTTCATCAATAAGGTCTCCCGCAGTTTATGAGTAAAACGCTCGTGTGCCCAATTCATGCGTGCCTGACGATGAGTTGCATTTCTCTCTAGAGGGTATCTCTTCTCTACCATAGTCAATCACACTATCTTACAAACATGGTCGTACAGAAGGTTTCCCGTCTCTTCGTCGCTCACGAACTCCAGTCCCCAAACTTCTTCTCTAGCTCCTCAAACGAAACCACGTCCCCAGACCACGCCGCCGGATCGCTCTCCAAAGCCTTACCCGGCTCCAGCCTCTTTTCCTCTTTCTCCTCCCCACCCTTGTCCTGTGTCTTTTGCGACTTTTGCGCCGCCCTCCGCTGAGCGACCATCTTGCTAGCCTTCTCCGGCGCAACAAACTCCCTGACACCCGCCAACTCCAAAACCCCCATCCTCACCCCGGCCATCCCCGCTGCGCCGCTCCTCGTGCCCTCATCCACCTTCCAGCTCTTATCGCGCTCCATCCGCGCCGCGGTGATGTACACCCTCTTCACCCAGCCGTCCCACCCCGTCCTCGCGAAGCACCGCTCCGCCTCGCGTAACCGCTGCGCGATGCCGCCTTCCTCGCGCGCTTTACGAGAGAGCGCCTTGTCCATCTTGGTGAAGACGAGCATCACGGGGCGGCCGGCGTCGGCGAGGAGCTTGACGATTTGCGCGTCCTTTTCGGATACTTTTTTCTCGGAGGAGAGGAGGAGGACGATGCCGCGGAGCATGGTGCGCTTGTTGATGTATTCGACGATTTCGCGGCCCCATTCTTCGTGGGAGGCGTAGCCGTAGCCGGGGGTGTCGACAAGGATTATGCCGTGTTCTGGTTTCTCTTCCTTTGTGACGCCGCCGCCACCCTCGGACGAGGAAGAAGAAGAAGGGGAGGCGACTGGTTTCCGGAAAGGAAGGCCCGTCAAGGGTCCCACGCCGTAGGCATTCATGGAGACGGTCTTGCCTGCCCGGTCGCTTACTTTCGCGAGCGACGCCGCGCCGGTGAGGGCGTTGATGAAGGACGACTTCCCGCAGTTGCTGGCGCCGACGACGCAGATCTCGGGCGTGGTGGTGTTGAGCGGGTGGTGCTTCAGCCGGAAGGCCGAGTACAAGAACGTCGCGGGCGGAGACAGGAAGAAGCGGGCGGCGAGGGCGTGCGGGAGGACGTCGTCACTGGCGATGGGGTCCGCGACGAGGCTGCCGCCGTCGCCCTCGAGTTCGATTTCGGGGGGCGGCGGGGGCGGTCTCCGCGCCAGGCGGAGGTCCTTTTCTGAAATTGAGATTGCTGCTTTGATGGCGTCTGGGCTGGCGATCATGGCTGCTGCGTCGCGGTTCCTTCGGGAGGGTTCGGGTTTTGGCGGTTTGGGTTGCCGGATGGGTTTCTGGTGTTCTTTTGATCTCTTGGGGGGGACGAAGTAGAGTGATCTGGCTTCCCAGACGTCTTTGGGTTTGCTAATCTTGTCCAGTTCTTCTTGGGATAGTTTTGGCTAGAGGACTGTCAGTATAGATCCTCTAGTTTTGATCCTTTTAGTGAGGAGAAGAGCAATAATGCTTCAACTCACCATCAGTACAAAACCGCCGCCCTTCCTCTTGGGTGCCGGCGGTTCATCGTCCCTGTGTGACCTCCTTGGCCGACTCCTCCTCGACAATGATGTTGAGAATCTCTCATCCCGTCCACGTTCGTTACGAGACGCATCGCCAGAGCTTCTTGGGCTTAAGTCGCTGCCTGACCGTCTAGCGGGTGTGCCGCCCGACCGCGAAGGGGCCGAAAGCCTGGTGTTCGCCCGGACGCGCTGGTCCTCCTTTGCGCGAGTCTTCCCGTTGTCGAACTCTTCCAGCCGTCTTGGGTGTTTCCGCCCATCGTACCAGCCGTCAGCGTCTGGTTGGGGTAGCCATGCGTTGTAAGTCGGCCTGCTGCTCATCCATCGCTGCGACGTCAGGAACGGCCGCTGAGCGAAGGCACGGCAGTTGCATATGTGTTTGAACATTTTCACGAGCCAAACATGAGCTCTAGATTATTGTTCTGAAAATTTGATATTCATTGCCAATGGTGCCGAATGATATTTGTGGATGAGAGAGCTCAGGGGATGGTGGACGGTATATGAAGGTCCGAGTTTGCTTAGGATAATGCAACAAACGCATAGAGACGTTTCGTTATATGCATAGTTAATTGTCAAACCCCCACCGTCGCCACCAGTATATACAATAAGTTGTCACAACTAACATCATCTCACTTCAAAGTCTCTGCGATCTTATGGCGGTAATAGCCTCTATTTTAGTTCTACCTTCCCTATGCATGGTTCATCAAAGCTCATCATGCATGCCAATTCCTTTGAAGGTTCAATGTAATTTAGCGAAATACAAAATCAATCCGTCCAACGCCTTGTTCATCCAGAATCGATTGGCGAGTTGATCAACCACCGGCCTGGTAGCGGTAGTAGAAGTTCTTCTGGTTGTTCAACTTCTCGCTGACTCCGTAGTCGTAGCGCTTCTGGTGACGCGTGGCGGTGCTCCGGCCTCTGACCTCTTCCTGTCTAACAACGCGCTTCTGCTTGTCAGAGGCACCAGCCATGCCAGCAGCATCTCTGCGAGCGATAGCACGGTTGCGAGTCTTGCGGTCGCCGGTGGTGGCGACCTCTCTACCATCAACGTCCATCTCATCGCCCGAGCCAGAGCCAGCCTCAATGGCCAAACGCTCGGCGCGCTCCTCCTCGGTAGGGTAGTTGTGAAGGTTCTGTCTGAAGTATCGGTTGTGAGAGCGGTGACCGACTGCCTTGCCAGAGGGCAAGTGCAGCTCGTACTCGTCGTAGAAGACAGCACGAGTGTGCTTGTGGGCGTGTGAGTGCCAGCCGTCGGCCTGGTGGCGGGCACGCGGATCGTTGGTAGAGTGATGAGGGTGCTTGTCGAGGCGCTCGAACTGCTCATACTTGCCATCCGCGGTGAAGGCCGTCAGCTCATCCGAGTCAAGCGAAGAGGCCGAGCTGTCCGTCTCCCAGCCATCATCACCACCCTCCTCAACCTCCTCGCCGTCCTCTCCAACCAACTTGGTCGGGCGCTTCAGACCCAACTTGGCTCCACCGTTCTCATCAGCCTCTTCCTCCTCCTCGTCCGAGTCCTCGCCATCAGAGTAGGTGCTTCGGAAGTCGTAGAAATCACCAATGTCGAGCTGAACTTCCTCCGTATCGTAGGGAATCTTGCAGTGGCCCTTGTCGCGCATGTGAGTCTGCACAGCAAAGGCCGTCTTCTTGGTCTTGAAGCAGTACAGGCACTGGTGACCATCATGGACGCGCTCCTGCAAATGCTGAAGCAGGCCATCCAGGTCAACAAGATACTGCTTCTCGGGAATGAACATATCGTGGAATCGCTCCATGTGGTTGGCGTTGAGGGAGACGCTGGGCGACTCGTAGTTGCAGAACAAACAGGACTTGATGGTCCAAGCGATCTCTGGCTTTGACTGCACGGGGGTTGCAGATTCGGAGTCGCGGTTCATGTTAACGTCTTCACGCTGACCTTGAGCAGAGAGGTGGGGGTTGGAGGGGCGCTTGACGGGTGAGGGGCGCTCGCCGTGGGACTCGTGAATGTTGGTCTTCTTGAGGCCCTCGACGACCTGAGTGAACTCCTCCTCGGCCTCGGAATCCAACTCGCTCTCCTTGTCGACGGCGATGGGCTCGCCAAGAGAGAAGGTGGAGCTCATGACGGAGCTGGCATCATCGGCAACACCGCCCTTGCGTCTAGCAATAGCAGCGACACGGACCTTGTGCTTCTGGCTCGTCAAGTGGTTCTGGTAGGCGTTCTCGCTCGAGTACGACTTCTGGCAGGCGTCGCAGGAGCGTTCGAAGAGGGCCTTCTCTGCCTCGGCGGTCTGAACGGCGCGAGCCTGGAGGACCTTTTCGTTGAAGACCTCAGAGGCAATAGGAGGGAGGGAGGCGACTCTGCGCTTGAGGTTGTATCGGCTGGGTAGATGATGTCAGTTGGTCTGGGCGGAACACAGCGGAAACAAGACGACAAGCCGGGCCCAGAAAACAGAAGGAACGACTCTGGGAAGGAGGGAAATCAAAGTAACATACTGCCAGTCGCTCTTCATATGGCCTCGCTGAAGATCGATGTTTCGGTAGGCAACAGAGCAGGTGTTGCAGGTGTAGGGGTGGGAAGCCGCCGTTGCCCCTCCATTTGCAGGAACGGCGCCGAGGGCAGCAACATCGACGCTCGCCATGGTGAATGTCGTGTGCAAAAGTGGTGAGTTTTGCTTGGTTTTCGTCTCAGAGGTTGCTTGTGTATGTGTTTGATTGTTTGCAATAGGGAGTTTTGTTGCGCGCAAACGTGAATTTGCAGGAAGCGCAAAAGAAAGAGAGGTGAAGGAGGCAAAAGATGGGCGTGCCTCTGTGTGCAGTGCGTCAAAGTCTGGCGGGATGGAGGGGAAAATGATTTTAAAAGGGAAAATTCGCAAGGGCTTTAGTGGGTTAGGCGGGGGTTTGGAGGGACGTGATAGGCACGTCACTTGCAGTCTAGGGCCCTTGGGCTGGGCTGTCCCTCAGAAGTTGTACCACTGGAAAGCCTCGAGATTTCCCTTACCTTAGCACGTTCCTGGCAGTTGCTGCCCTGTCAAGTGGGGGCCGGTACACTAATCCTCTCCTTCCCGAAGCACCGGACCTGCAAAGATTCTCGACTGAGAAGCCTGGTGCTTTCTTTCTGGCTTCTGGCTTATTCTGTCTCGCCGGCTGACATATCAAGAAAGAGGCAAGTCGCATGAGTACCTACCTTAAGGGGCAAACTATCGCTTCAAGCACCAGCAAGTCTACTTGTCACCGTTTTGGGGTTAAGGTGTTGCCGTCCCGCGCCTTTTAGAGTTACAGCCTTTATTATGGAAGTACCTACCTACATCTTCGTGGGGAATCATTGGCGCTTGGGCTTGCGCCTCAAATGCAAGCCTCGATTCGGGCATCTCGATGAATGACTACCTAACAACAAAGTTGAAGCCCAACAAGTACGAGTGCCAGGATATAATCCAGACGGAAGACTCAAGATTTCGACTAAGATACTACAGGAACAGACAAATACTTGCATCATACCCACCACACTCCCGTCACCACACTGAGAAATAGTTACCGTATGGAAACTCGAATGACTAATTCACCGTTAGGCGCTGTCTGCAAAACATCGGCCCGTCATGAACAACGATGGAGGGGTTCGAGCGGGTCAACCGGGCGGCGACGGCGGCGCGGGCACCTCTGCTGGGTCCAGAAAAAAAAAGGAAAGAAAGTCGGAGGCAGAAATCGCCGACCTTGCCGAGACTGGAATGGGCGTTTGAACAATGAAGACGGCAACCTTGCGGCTGATGTCAGAAACACCACAAGGCATCCATACTCCGTATTCGTAGTGTAGGTGCAGGCCCCAGAGTAGGTACCCTGCCCTGGTCCGCCCTTTGATCGCAACTTGCGCGTCTGCCATTGGAATTTCGCATGCTAAATTGGGACCCTCTGCGGAATCCTCCATGTTCGATTTGCCTGCTCCCGTGCTTCCCGTATCCACTCTTCCAGAAGGACCCCGGAAGCCGTGCCCCGTTTGCATCGAATCGCACCGTGTCATCGCCGAGCCTCGTAGCGTGGCCATACGGTGCCCAGTTCCTCTTCCGACACTGACGACCGGGACGTTGAGCTATCCTAATCCACCTAACCTACTTACCATACCCACTGCCCATCATCGGGTCAAGGCTGTTCATTCATCACCAACATATTTCTATTTGGCCCAACTGTGTTCACTACTGGTTGTAATATCCGTGTACCATTAGACGTCCACGAGAACGAAACCGCCCCTGCGTTCCCTCTTATTCTGTCCGACTCCTCTTCTCGCTAGCCGCTCCCTGCCGCGCGCATTTCCTGGTCTTGTACGCCGCCAGCTACCTCATCCAACCTCGACCTCAGATACCCCAGAACTCTCGCCATCCGGATGACATGACTCGAGACATTTGCCGCCCTGAGAAGGGCCCTCAGACCGAAGCCGGCCTCGATGCTGAACTTCTAGCCGGTCTCTGGGAAGATGCGCCTCTCGCGCGCCTGCCCTCTGATGCGCCGGCCGAACTGAAGGATATGGTACAGATCATAGAGAACCCGAAGCGCGTCTACGCCATCCACCGCGCCAGCCGCCGGCACAACTTCCAGATTCTCGTAGAAGCGTGCGTCTTCAACTGTTATTCAGCCTCCATTGTGTGTCCTCCATACTAACAAACCCCTGATCTGATCAGATACGTCCAACAGCTACGGTACGGATGTGACTCCAAGTCATGTACAACCTCGACCTGCTTCTCCTGTCGCAAGCGTCTCGCAGGCAAAGCGCCAATACGCAGATACAACATCACGAGCGCAAGGACCTTGGCAGTGTACCTGGCCAGTCAGGACAACCCAGAGACTGGGCTCTGTCCCTACCTCAACCCCCCGAAAGAAACACCGGCCGCCCTCAACTCGCTCATATTTTCCTCCAACCCCGCGCCTCCAGCATTCAGCGACCCCTTTTCGAAGCGATCCGGTACATCAGGCGATAGTAGAAGGCGGAAGTCAAATTCGGGCGCCAGGACAAATGGCGATGGCAGTTCCATGAGGGCTACCCAGGGTACCGAGGAAATTGGTCGTCGAGCAACAATATCCGCCACGCACGAACGCTCCCATTTTGATGCGGCAACAGGCACTGCACATCCTCCATTCAAGATTGCCGAACGACCCGTCAACAAGGATTACCGTTCTTTCGCAGCCAATGTGTTTGGGACCGTCGCCTTCAAGATGTTGGAATGGCTTACGCCAGCTGGCCTGGATGCCATGTCCCAAAAAGTCGCGGCATTGGAGGCAGAGGCGACACAAAGTCCTTCCAAAGAAGAACCGCAAATGTTCCGTAACCCATCAGGCCTGTCGACGCCTTTGCAGCCAACGCCTCCCTTGACGCAGGCAGGTACGAGGGATTTGGGCGAAGTCTCTCAGTCGACTCCGGAACAAGGATCGGATGCAGTTATCGCTCAGGGGTCACAGACACTGCATAATCCAAATGCGACGATGCCCAGCTCACGGCCTAATAAACCTAAGAGAAGTTCAAGCACTAGGGTGCGGGCCAACTCGAAGCCTAGTAGGAAACTCTCTATCGAGCCATACCCGACATCTTCATTGCCCGAAGACGTCACGTCCGGGTTGTCCTCCCCAAGGATGAACGGAGGAGCTTATGAGAAACCACTGCGGCCACCAAAAACGTCTCACGTTAACCCTTACGCCATTCCAGAAATACCCTCGACACCATCATTCTTCGATAATGTACCGCCTCAAAGCCACGCTGTAACGATTGTCCAAGAACCAGACTCAATACCCAATATAAACCACGCCAACAGCCGACCACCACAACCAGCAGAAACTCCAGTTTCCCATGACCCGGTCTCAGAAGCTCAACCTTTGCGGGTTGCAAATTCCGCCGAAAATGCGAAACAGAATCAAGATCCGCTGGAGGTATCGATTGCCGACAGCTTGCTCCCACAATCCTTAACAGTACTCGACGTGGAGGTGGTTGATCTCGTGTGCGACATTCTCCAGGATGACGGTACATCAGAGTCCCACCTCCTTGATCCCCCAAGGATTACCAGCACGTACACCACACTCAAGGACCGGGCTTCCAGAATGCAGAGGAAACAGAGCTCCCGAGCTACCTACCCAAAGAGACTCCGAAGACAGTGGAAGCTTTTTATTGAGCAAAGTCTGTTCAATATCTTGAGCGACCCCGTTAGTTTGGTCGCATCCTTTGTCAAGGACGACGAATTGCTCGATTCCCATACCATATGGTACTGCATGCTGAGACTCACACGAGTGGCTCCAAGCTTGGTGTTTCACAGTTTGTGGATGGCGGCTGGGAGCTTGTTCAAAGCACCCAAGTCACTGCAATCCCTTCGTCCCCCCGCTGCCAGAATGTTCCGCCGAACCGATCGATCTCTTGCCAATGTCGAAGCTGGTCAGCTCCTATCGATATGCCTCCATGCGCTGGTGGCCGCGGCCCCTTTGATTACAGACTCCCGAATCCTTTTCGACATGTCACGAATCCGTTCTAATGGGCTAACTCTCGCCGGAAGCGGTGCCCTCGCTCGGCAGCCAGCGTGGCTCTGCCTTCTGTATGAGGATGCCTTTTCGAACGATCTGGCACTCCGGCTGGCGAGGCGTTTGTTCACCGCCATATCCGCGCGTAGGTGTTTTGCAGATATGGCTGCGCAAGATGACAATCTCGAGGACAACAAGGAGGACTTCGACGCCCTTCGACCCCTTCTGTCTCAACTTGACCTACTTAACTCGTACTCATCTTCCACTCCTGGGGTGGGCCAGCTCGAGCGAGCTGGCCACGAGTCCAGGGTTTCTACGCTACTTCTAGACTGGGCCAAGACGGTGATGCTTCAGCAATGGGACGGCCAGCCTGAAATTTCATACGATAGCTCCTTTGGTGGAGCGTTGTCGCTGATTGCAGCTATGTGTAAGTTCTAAAATCATCGCATGTGAGATTTCCCATTCAACTGACCGCCCCACCAGACGAAAAACGACAAGACTTGCTTCTTGGAGACATACAATTTCGCGTGGATTACTTTGCCGAGAGGCTGGACTCAATCAATATGCCTGTCGCCTGGCTCACCCATACCTCCTCGAGACAGAAGAAGCACCTATTGGACTTCCCCTTCATCTTCGAACCATCTGCCTTGGTGTCTTATTTCCGATCCATCAACTTCTCGAAGATGAGCCGAAGCTACGAGGAATCAAGCTCGCTTCAAACACGTATGAAGGCAATTGTTGCTCCTGGAGGCCTCATTACCAATCCCCATCACAAGCTTGTTCTGCAAGACCTTCTGAAGACAGCCTCCTCAAAGTATTTGATCCTCGAGATTAGTCGTAAGAACGTCATTAGGGATGCTTTCGATCAACTCTGGCGGCGAGAAGCAAGAGAGCTGCATAGACCGCTCAAGATCCATCTTGGCGAGGAAGGTGGCGAAGAGGGATTCGATTCCGGCGGAGTTCAACAGGAGTTCTTCCGACTTGCTGTTGCTGAGTGCCTCAATCCCGATCATGGCGCTTTCACGGTCGACGATAGGACCCGCATGACCTGGTTCGTCCCGGGCTCCGTTGTACCAGCCTGGAAATTTGAGATCCTTGGTCTGTTGGTGTCACTGGCTGTCTATAACGGCCTGACGCTGCCCATCACATTTCCCAAGGCCCTTTACCGCAAGCTCCTAGGCGAGCCTGTGGACGAACTGCATCACATCGCCGACGGATGGCCAGACCTCGCGATGGGACTGACGACACTACTTGAATGGGACGAGAAACAGGGTCTTGTCGAAGACATCTTCGCACGCACATACGAATTCTCCGTTTCCATGTTTGGACAGCCCATTTCTCGGGAGATGGATGGAAAGGCTAGCAGCTGGCCCCAGTTCGAGGCGACTGCTAAGACGTCGCTTGTGGACGGGAATCCCGAGGATGCTCCGCTCGTCACCAACGAGAACAGGAACGCGTACGTCAGCGACTACATCAAATACCTGACGGATGTTTCCGTTCGGCCGCAATACGAAGCGTTCGAGCGTGGATTCCGAGCTTGCTTACATCCCAAGGCACTCGGGCTTCTGACCCCGCCACTCCTCCAATCACTCGTGGAGGGCGTCCAGGAGATTGACATTTCCGAACTGCGCCGATACACCAGATACGTCGGCTGGGACGCAACCCACCGCGGCGTCCGAGACTTCTGGTCGGTTGTTAAGCGCTACGACGAGAAGATGAAGAGGCGGCTGCTGGAGTTCGTCACCGCGTCGGACCGTGTGCCCGTCGGCGGCATGAAGAATATGCAATTCGTCGTTCAAAGAAATGGTGAAGAGGAGGGCGAGGGCGGACATTTGCCCACCGCGTACACGTGTTACGGTACGCTTTTGCTGCCAGAGTACAAAGATAAAGATGTCCTGAGAGAGAGGCTTTCCATGGCGTTGGAGAACGCGCAAGGCTTTGGGTTTGCTTGAGCGACCGTTTTGGGGGGGCGCGAGGAGTTGGTTGTATGTTAGAATTAGCGGAACAAAAAAGTATCTGGGCATGGAAGAGATAGGGGCTTGGGATCCTTGGCGCTCACTACTTGCATTGGGAAGAAGAGAATTGAGGTTCTGCATCTCTGGTTTTTATGGTGTTCGCTTGGCTATGGTGACTTTAATGTCGTGATTTCTTGTGATTTGATATGAGATCCAATTCCAGATCTCTCGGCTCTACCTCGTCCATCGGAAGCAATCCAGTGGCCATAGTATGATGCATAGCACCATCCCGAGACAAGACCGGGGATTTCTCTGTCGATTTGACCTAGTCGACACACAGCTGTAGGCACCTTAGCTCTCCCATACCATAGTTCCCAGGCTTTCAACACGTACCCGTAATCCTCACCAAATTCAGAGAAACCTTGCTGTCCATGAAACTTATCTCCGTAAGGGGTTCCGTTAACCCAGACTGGGATGGCTGGTATCCTCCTAGGTTCGCGAATGAATGGAACGTCCCGTTATCCTTGCCATACACGCCATTCCTCTTATATAGTGAAGGGCATCTTGTTTTTCTTTCGCACTGCCCTTAGTGGACGGGAAGTCTCTTCTAAAGCAAACCGTGGGATGTGCGAGGCTTGATGGACTAACAACCTCTACGGACCGAAACTCACGATAACTCCCTCACTTTGGACGTGCCGGGAAGCTATCTCCGATGGCATCAACAGTTAGAAACGTGACAGAACGAAGTCATTTTAGAACCCTGATTGCCCGGTCTTCGCATCATCCCGCCATGAGAATCCTATAAGAAAGCAGCCTCTTTCCCATCATTACTGGCATCCTTTCCATTTTACATCCCATTCTTCATTCCAGTCATATCTTCATTGAGTACTGTCCAGTTACAACATACACATTCTCATCTTGAGGAATTGCTATACCCATCTGCTATACCACGCTCACCCCCAACCACTTACACAGGACACTGTCTTACAGCAACCAGACTCTTAACCTATCCTCAGATCAGCGTATCAAGAGATACGATGGAGTCCATTAGCAACATCGTCAATAAGTCCGCCGTGGAGACTGCCACCACCACCACAGCCGCCATCACTTCGCCAAGCGCGCCAGCTTCAACCACGAGCCTTCAGCAGCGCATCGCCAAACGACGCCGCGAATGGACCCTCACTCTCACAGACGGGCCCGTCTCCTCTCCCGGCCCCAAGGCAAAGTACCGTAGATCCCGCAGCTGGAGCACCAGGATCGGCGTCGACGCCCCGCTTAACGCAGAGCGGCAGATTCCAGTCTTGTACGCGATTGCCATGTCAAAGAGCAAGAGTAACATCCCATCCTCCCCCACCACCTCCTCCACCTCCTCATCTTCATCTTCCTCTGCTATCGAGGGTTTCGTCAATGATGAATACCCTCCGGACGCCGAGGAGTACCGCATCTGCCCCGACACAGACTCGCCTCGCTATAAGCACGAGTCTGATGTCGGCCTCTGGAGCGGGCCCCGTTCCTCGCCCGGCCCGAGGGCGAGGTACGCCCGGTCTCGCTCCTGGAGTTCCAGGCAGTCAGATAGCGGGTACTCCTCGGGGGCGGACTGTGTCGTCAGCGAGAGTGAGTCTGACGACGGCTGCGCGCATTATACGTTTCTTTCTGGCGCGGACTATTTCGACAGTGAGTCCGGCAGTAAGTGCTCCAAAGGCGAAGATGATATCGCCATGACCGACGTGCCTCTCATTGGCGTTTCCGGGTATGGCGATATAGTCATGGCTGACATCTCTCCCATGGAATTTCCTGGGGACGGCGACGTCGTCATGGTCGACGCTTCTCCCATTGGTGCTTCTGGGGACGACGATGTCATCATGGCCGAATACGAGGATGACGATGAGGACATCTCGATGGCCGACTATGGCGGAGACGACGACGTCTCAATGGCTGATTATGTCGAAGACGATGACATCGAGATGTCTGACTACAGCGAGGACGTCGATGTCGAGATGGCTGATTATGGCGACAGTGATGTCGAGATGTTCGACCATATTGAAGACACCAGAACCAACGTCTTAGACTATAGAGATGTCGTCGAAATCGACAGTTTCTCCGAAAGTGGCGACTCCCTCGATGACAGTCTCATTGTATACAACAGCGAATACGAGGACGACTCCGAGGACGACTTCGAGGACTTCGAACTCGCCATGGGATACTACAGCGACGGCGACTCCTCCTCGGACGGGGGAGATTACCCCGACCCCGAAATCGCCCTCGCAGACGACAACGATGCCGCCGTCGTCACCACATGGCCGTTGGACGGCACCACGCTCATTCGGAACTCTCCAAACGGCTCGGGCAGGTACTCGTCTCCCGCGCTTTCTGACCGGCCTGAACCTGACCTGATTTCGGAATATACACTCACCCGCTGGGTCAACGGAGTGGCCGAAAGGATGATATATGTCGACTTCGACTACTCAGACCTCGAGTGTGATGAAGAGTTGCCCGTCGTGGAGCTGAGATTGCCCGAGGATGAGAAGGATCACTACGAGTGAACGATGCCGCATTGTCGTTGCGCTCCTCCCAGAGATTCTTGACCGCTTGAAACGGTCTTGAATGGGAGTAAGGGTGATCCGGCTCATCCTCGCAGAGTCCGATGCTCGATAAGTAAGCATAGGATTAAGGGACTTTGTCGAGGCCGCCGTTGGGGTTGAACATCATCATGGAGTCGATGGTGTTCATCATATTGCAGCGGGAAGGTTTACTTCCTGGAACGCTTACTGTCAAGCTATTGAGATGGATGTGATGTGGGCTGACGCAAGATGATGATGGCTGCATGGGAGAGATCGAGGCAGCGAGAATTCCATGGGCTGGTGCCATGGGCCGGTGTCAGACTCTCATTTCCACCGCCCTTCATCACTCCCTGGCAGGAACACACATTACACAACAACAATAGCCTTAGGCCACAGCTATTGCAAGAGTCTAGAGGACGGTGTAGAACTATAGGACGTGAATAACAGGCTATATTGCGATGTACTGAGAACTGTCGAGTTGGTGCCGTCACTCTCATTGGCAGACAGTATTAGAAAAGGCGAAGGACGAAGGATATGCATTGGGTTCGCGAGCCTCAAAGGTAGTTCATCATAAGAGAGATGGCTCCACGGCGGTATGCAAATCTTCGTCAAGAGATGGTTCGTAGGTTCTATATGGCATAGGACACAGAATTATCTCTTTCTCATTAACAGACTCGCACCATGATGTGATGTAACTACCTGGCTCTAACTCATAGCATCTTCCATACGCACACCATATGCTATCATTACGACCCGCTTAGAATCCTTCCTGTCAAGTTAAATCAGTTGGCCCCCCGAGGAATAGTCTTGTCTTATTCAACAACACATTCGCTCAGTATCCCGGAACCGTGATAGCTTTCAGGAGCTTCTCATACGGTATGTCACCCACCTCAGGACCGTAGCGGTCGATCGCAACCTGGCAGAGATCGATAGCACCTTGCTCCAAATCTTCCAAAGCTTTCTTTTCGTCTATGCGATGATTCGGCCTGGAAGTGTCGAGCAAACGATGGAAAGATGTTTGGTGTAAGTTTCTGATGTCCCACATCAATTTGGATCTTGCGATGAAGAGTTCTTCCTCCTTTTCCGAGGAGCCAGATGGAACAGGGTCGGTCTGTGTGCTGTGGTCCATATTCATCAATACCGGCCGCGGCGAGTTCAGACTGGCGTCGACTCTGTCTGTATACTGTACTGGTATCATGGCACGAACTGGTGGAGCCTGGTCGACTTCTTCCACCAACATCGTCGGAGGCGCATCCACGCTAGACGACCCTCTGCCAATTGTACCTTGGGCGTGTCTCACAACATCAATCTCTGCATATTGCGTTTCGTTCACCGATGCAGAATCAACCGCGTCTTGTACCCCCTGGTTGAATCGGCCATTCTCTATAGCTTCTGACGAAGGCTGTTGCTCATGCCCGGTGGCCAGGCTTGGAGCCCGTGACAGTGCTCTGCGTTGGAAATGAGCAGACGAAATGGCTGGCAGCGGGACCGGTGATGTGGAAATCAACGTCGTCTGGGAAGAACACTTTTGCTTCTTGGAAGATAATTTGTCGATCATACCGGCTTCTTTTCTCTTAACGAAATTGATCCTGGTCGTCTGAGCTCTGTTGCCTTGCTCCGCCGATTGGATTTTAGCGGGTTCGATTTCCGATGTATGGGGTCTGAGAATATTTCCCTCTTTGATTGTATCCTGAGAGTCTTGATTAGGCTCTGGAGTCCCCATATGCGTGGTACCCATTTGCGTAATCTTCATCTGAGGGACCTCTTTCTCTGCCCTACTTCCGACTGAGAATGGAAGCTGGCGGCGGGGAGGAAGCATGTCTTGAATCTGGGTGCTAGAACTAGGCCTTTTTGTTCGTTCGTCATACTTGGCGAAAGCGACTTCATCGGCTGATGGACTGAGATTCCAATGACAGGAGTCCTGCGAAGCTGGCGGTGAGCGTACCGGTGGCCGTCGGTGGGAAATCGTTGAAGGTGTAGGGACCGCGGACCTGTGCTCTGTATTCGACGAAGCCTTTTGCGATGCGTATTCATTCGGCATCTCTGTGAATGCAGTGCGAGATCGGTTGAAGGTGTAAGGCGTGCCAAATCCATTTGAAGACTGGTGAACAGACCCTGCGCGTTGACTGACGGACGTTAAAGGCCGGTACGTCTGCACAGCTACACTGCTGGCTCGAGGTATCGAGTGGGTTCCTTCCGACCGAAATTGTGTCCCCGGAGGTGAGCCCAGCCGACCTTGGTAGTCTTGTCGCATCAAACTTGCATTATGCCTCGAGGAGTAGGGCTGGGTCGCAGCAGAAGTTTCAAAGTCGCCTGCAACCGAGGATGACCGAAATTGCTGCAGTGGAGTAGGCTGACGACGAGATGATTGCATCGGTCTGGCCTGAAAGCCGAGACTTTGAAAAAGGCCTAGTACTTGGTCTGTATCACTCTGGCTTTTGAATCTTAGACGGGTCTGTTGATCGACCTACAGATGGTCAGCAGACACCCCCACACGAGCATAGAATGTGAACGTACGCTACGAAGGCTCTCTCTAATGACCAAGATATTGGCCCCGGGGCAGTAGCCCAGCATGTAGTCGGCATCTCTTGAAATAGCTCCATCTCGACTTCCAAGTCCGAGCTTGAGCTATGTTCTGTCAATCAGCGCGTGTTGCCCAGACTACAAGGCGACTTACAGCCTGCGCCCCCTGTCTCGGCACAATGAGAACATGGTTTGGTTCTCTATTGGCATTGCCTCGAGATCCCATAGCATCTGCGAGAAGTATCTCCTGTTTCAAGTTGAGGACGGCATTTTCGACACTGGAGGTGCATAACCAGTCTTTCTCACGGTGGCGTCTCTCGGAGATCGTCGCATGGATCAGTGTGAACGTCCAGTTCTGGGGTTTCTGTACTTTGGGCGGCATGTTCGGCGATATACAGAGCCGCGCTTCTGATGGTCATATATTTTAAAAGAAGAACCTTCAAGTATATCAGTAGCTCGAGAGAGCGAGGTCGATCAAGTCATCGATACCACCGAACTGCGTAGTTAGTAACATGAGGCAGGGGTGTATAGCATTCCCGTGATAGGGCTCTTGAATAGATTGAGCGGAACAGAGCAGTGGTCAACCAACATTCCCACGCTATATGAGGGTTGAGTAGGTCGTGGGCTGGAGACAGTCACAGGCCAAGTGAGATTGAATGGTTGTTGCCCTGAAGAACAAATAGGAAGGAACTCTGACTCTGGATAGTAGGCAAGTCACAGTCTGGGCAGGGGTGTAGCTTCTCTTCAGTCTTCACCCATGCCTCGAGCTGCAGACGGAAGGTGCAGCTCATGTGGACCCAGTCCGAATTGGGATTTAAGTGGTACCTCTTAGCGCAGGGACCACCAGATCGAGCTTATAGTCACGTGAAGATAAGCCAAGACGTGGCCAGGGATTTCTCAACGTCGCGTAAAGGCAAAACACGGTTGGTTGGTTGTCCCGGCGCATCATTACCGATCGCAGAGGGCCCTGAACTTGCGTAAGAGCACACTTCATCCCCACCCTCTTCCATTGGGAGTCGACAACGCGTTTTACAACACAGAGATTCAGGCAGTTCTTGTCGCAATACTCCGGGCAACCTTTTCCAACAACTTTGGTCTTGGAGAAGAACTCGAAGCTCGTCTGCGAGCCTCACACCGGGCTCCGATCTCGAACCAGTGAACCCAACTTTGCTAGCAGGCTGCCCGTCAGTTTGCCTCACCCCGATCGCACAATCCCATTTTCGCGTCCACTAACAGGGAAACAGCAGCCTGCTCGATCGACCGACCCATCATGGCGCCCAAAGAAGCCGAGGTCGAGCTTCATGCTATCAGCCGAACCCCCGAGTATGAGGACTTCATGGCCAAGCTGAAGGCCTACCATCAGGAGCGGGGCACTGCTCTAGAGGCCGAGCCCAAGGTCGGACCGGTATATCTCGACCTCTACAAGACTTTCACCCACATCTGCACGAACGGCGGCTATGATAAGGTGTCTGATGAGAAGCTGGCCTGGCGCCGGATGGCGGAGCAGCTCGGCATCCACTCGTCCAACGTTGCCTCAACTGCCTTCTCGTTGAAGGAGAAGTACTACAAAAACCTTGCTGCCTACGAGATTAAGTTCTTTCACGGCAAGGAACCTCCTCCAAAGGACATTTTGGAGGATGTCTCTGCTAAGGGCGGCGGTCTTTTGTCTCGAACCAGAGAGAACTTCCGTGGAGCGAAGCGCGACAGTGGCACGGCTGCTGACTCTGCCGCGGCTTCTGGCGATGATGGCACCCCTACACGAGAGCGCCCGACTCCAGATGCGGCACCAACATCCAGCGTGAGAGCTTCTCGTGGCCTACGCGAGGCACCGCCCCAGAGAGTCATCTTTCAACCCGATACAGGCCCTGCTAGGCCGCCTCGCCACGTCTCTGGCCAACAGCCGAGCCACCTCAACACTCCTACCCCAGGCGGCCATTCAGGCAGTCATCATGGAACACCGCAACAGGTTCAGCACACCCCCGTGCCTCTTCCTCACCAACCAAGAGCTCCGCCGCGTGGACCGAGCGGCAGCTATAATCCGCCTAACCCAGACAACACATCGGCATCAGTTGAATCATACCTTCCCCGCTCGCTGCAGCCACCGAACCAGCAGCACGTTCTCCCCATGCGCCCTGTCGATACACCAAGCAATAATCCGGCCGAGTTTGCTCGCCGCCGACATGTAGCACGCTCCCTCCTGGAGCCTCCTCGCCGCAGTGGGCCCTATCCTGGAGGTAAAGACATCCTCATTCTCTCGTCAAAGTGTATGAAGCTGCTAACTTGTGTTCAGTGGGATTCGAAGGACCCAACATCTACATTCGCTGTCTGATGGCTTTGCGCTCTGCCATCTTTGAAGAGCAGCAGTTCGCGCTCTACCATTTGGTCAAGATCAGTTACGAACGCCACGACAAGTTCAAGTTCGAAGGCTTCCCGGGCCTCAGCGAAGGCCTCGTCGAAAA